CCCACACTCAACCAAGACGACTGCCCACACTCAACCAAGACGACTGCCCACACTCAACCAAGACGACTGCCCACACTCAACCAAGACGACTGCGCACACTCAACCAAGACGACTGCGCATATTTAGCCATAAGAACAGATCACATTTTAATTTTATAATGTTATGTTTTATGTATAAACAATCAGATCTAGACCATCGTAGCTCCCATGGTACTCTTGCATTCCTGGCCCATTATAAAAGCCCCTTTTCAGACCGGGGTACACAAAACTCAAAGCAGAGGTTTCTCACCTTCTCCGAGACCTTGCGGGCACTTTCAATGAGCTCCTTCTTGGTGAAGGAGTCGTTGGGGCTGCACTGCAAGGCTCCAGCTTTGGTCACCAGACTAGTGCAGCCAAAGCCCAGCTCCTGGACCTGTTTCTTGATGTTCGAGCCGATCTGACATTGGGTACAGACGGCACGTGTCAAAAAAATGGATTGAACGCTACTGTATTTTGGAATTTGATCCAGTAGTACCAGTAGTCTAAGACATGGGACCCCAATTCTGTTAGCTTTCGGCTTAGCTGGACCAGTACCTCGTCACTCTCTGCCGTGATGGCTGCACATTTCGCTTCGCTGGCAAGCTCTCCAAATTCGTTCGTCAGCTGGTTTGCCAGGCCTCCGAGTTCGTTAGGATTATTGTTGGACTTGGTCACCTGAAAGTCAGACATTTACGGAAAAGAGGTTAACATGGAAACCTGTAAAGGACGCAAAGCGACAACTCCCACCCAAATGGGAGGCAGGGTTACTTAGAAATGTTGTCAGTTCCCACTGACGTTAGGTATCCACACAAAAAAAAGCCCCTTACCATCTCTTGGACAGTAACTGCAATGGCCTTTGCTGTCTTCACCATGGTAGTCTGGTAGTCCACAAAGGCACCCTCTGGTTCATCTGCTGGTCCATCCTCCATCTTGTTCATGGCCTTCGTGATGGAATCCACCATGCCGCCGACTGCCCCTGCAGCACTTGCGGCCTCGCCGAGGGTGGCGGCCAGGTCGTCCACGGCCTCTTTCATCATCTGCACTGACTCGTCCAGGGCTTCTTGGGTGTGGGCTGCCTGTGAGTTTGCACAATCCACATGAAGACACATTTAGCATTTAGCGACGAAACTGGACTGACCTGCTTATTCATCAAGCTGTTACAAAATAAGCTGTTCTCATAAGGTACTCATATGTTTTCATAATGGCTGATGAAGACACAGTTACACAACATGAGTATCCGGGTGTTAACTTAATTTAACCTGATATTCGGTGAGAGACTAGGGGGCCGGTGTTACCTTAGGGTTGCCTCCGGCTTCTTTGGCCGTGTAGAGCATCTGCAGCGCAGATTCAGTCAGGGTCTTGGTCTGGTCCAGCACGTTCATCTGCTGCTGGCTGTTGAGGATCTTAGAGGCCATGCCGACGGAGGACATGACGAGTGCCTCAAAGTAGCTGACCATCTGGGACACCTGGGAAGACGAATGCAAGACCCGGTGGACAAGGTGAGATGAGCTTTTATTCACCTAGACCAGTGTTTCCCAATTCTGTCTTAGGGGACCCACACATGGCCCACGTTTTTGCTTCCTCCCAGCTCCCGGCCAGATAGTCCACATTTTTGCTGTGGGAGCCGAGAGGGAGCAAAAATGTGAACTATCTGCGGGTCCCCGAGGACAGGATTTGGAAATGCTGCTCTTTGGGAAATTATCTTGCTGACTTGAGTGCCCCATGAATGCAATGAACTTGAACCTAAAAAGTGTCTGGTTATATTGCAAAGTCTTATAAGAATGATTCCATGCAAATGCTTAAAGATCCTTGATATTCCAACCTTGTGTCCCAGTTGCGAGGCCTCTGAGCGAGCAGCGATAGCCACAGGTTCGATCAGATTGCTGATCTCATGCACGGAAGCTGCCATCTGCTCGTGGAGTGCCTTTTGGAGAAAGGAGAACATCACTTGAAGACTCCCTTCTTCATCACACCCACACAGCTCACGCTGAACCAATTCCCACTCATCCTGACAGGATTCATATATTCTAATGAATTTGTAAATCAGCCACATGGGCAGGAGGGCCTTCTGCTGTTTGCAGTGCATCTTAAACTCCCACCCATCCAGCTCATGAAGGTACTTAGAAGGTACCTCCTGAGAAATGTCTTCTCTAGGAGTGAGCTGTTGGCTGATGGCAGCCAGGGACGCCTGGTCCACATCACGGATACAGTTGTTGAGGACTTCAATGGCCTCGTCACACTCCCTCTGCCCAGGAGCCTTATCTCTGCAAAGGAGATGATCACCAAAGTGTCATAATGTTCAGTCAATTCACAGTTTGGGGCATATTTGGAAATCTTGTTATTAACAAAAAAAATATGGATTTCATATTCAATACTGGAAGTCATGTGCTGGCTTTCAAACACCAGTATGCTATCAAGCTTCTTGTATTTGCAGGCTGAATATAATGCAATTATAATGATTTGGACTATCTGAGGGCTGACAAACCTCATGTTGGTTATGAGCTTCTTGATGGAGTCCGACACAGTTCTGGAGTGGCCCGCCAGCACGGACCACTTGGGCGGGTCTTTGGGGTTGACTGCCAAGGAGCGGGCGGTCTGGATCAGGCCCGTGGAGCTCTCCAGCATGGTCTGAGCTGCGTGCAGGATGGGCTCCATCGCCGCCAGACCCTGTGCATGACACATGAACCTCTGGATTAACAGTGGAGACCCAATACAGGATGAGGCTTTTGTAAACCCAGGATAAACCTACTGCCTATTCTAAACAATCCATCAGTGTTTCCCTTTATGTTGTGTCACTCCTTGTTTTTTGCACGTATGTATATATATGTAGCACCATGGTCTATGAACCACATTTTCTGTCACTGCATGCAGTGAACTGAATACGGCTGATGTGACTTAAAGCATATTTTGTTACCATTATATTTTCTTTTTGCATTAATCTGTTATTTTTTTTGACTTTGTAGGTCTCCAGCTGTAAATACTCTGAATGCACACTCTTTTAAACCTGATCTTTATCTGATTCTGCCTACTGATGCTCTCTGTGCACTGGGTCATACTGTACTTCATACCTCTGGGCTTATCTGGGCAGGGATGCTGGCGAACTCGGGGTTAGAGGCGAAGGCAGTGAGGTTGTCCACGGCCTCGATCAGGGGCCCCGTGGCCGCCCTGCACTTCTCGCGATTCTCCTGGTTAAATGCTCCGTCCAGGGCCTGGCAAAGCAACGCCATTTTGCAGCAGGAACTTAAACACCAAACGCTGCATCACGTAGGGTAGAAAAACGACACGGGATAAAATCCAGCCGGCCACTCACCTTGATAGACTTGACGAGATTAGCCGTGCTGTTAGCCACCTCCTTGGCGGACTGGACAAACTGTCGCTTAGCAACAGGATTGGATGTTTTCGAGGAGGCGAGGCGGCAGGCATTGCAGAGGGCCGATGTGTGTTTGGCAACAATAGTGGCGGCGGAAAGAACCTGAGGAGCAGAGATGTGTTGTTACAAAAAAAAAAACAATCAGATAAATAGCACTGACCACATCATCACGGAACATAGAGATCAGGGAAATTCAAGCTCCTGCCAGCACACCCAGCCATCAGATTCCCTCCCTGTTCTATCACCTCAAGAACCACCTGCTCTACTACCTTACAGCACCCAGCATCCCCTGAATTCTCTTATTGTAGCATTTTATCTATTGAATTGAGTTGTTCATTGATTCATGTTATGTTTGAAAGGCGGTGTGTAGCTCTTACGCCATTCATGCTTACTATTGTACACAGTCTTTCACTGGAAGCTCGGCCTAGCTGCACTAGCTGTAATGGGCTACTTGCCTTGCTTGAATGTTGCTTTGGACAGAATGGCCTGCTAAACAAATACATTTAAATGTAAACGTAAGCATCTATTATGGGTCATAACTACCAAGAAGAGAAGAGCCTCATATTTTTTCTGCCTCAACAGTCATTCGCAACCATGAAAACCTTCTCAGAATTAAGTTTCCATAAAAATTATACAACACGGACACATAGTTTCTGATAATGCATTTCTGGTGAAGTTTAGTGATATTTTTCCTGGGGGGGGGAGTAAGGTATTTAAAGTTTCTTGGATGTTTTGTGTATTCAAGACCTAGCTGTAAAACAGTAACATAGCCAGATATTAGCAAGAAGAACTCTGCTTCTGCTATAGCATGAATTGTCAATGTGGTGCGTTTGCCCCCAGCACTCGTCAACCACAGGAGGCTTACCTGTGACTGCGTACAGGCCGGGTCCACCAGGTTCTGGCAGGCCATCTGAATGGCCTGGTTGGCTCGGGCGAACTGGGCTGGATCCACCAGCCCCTTCTGGCCCGCATGGCTGTTGGGGTCCGAGACACCAACCAAGTAGGCGGCCTGTTGGTGATCAAGGCAGGGTTACTTAAATGCCACCATGAAGATGGAAGACCTAAACAGCAACAAGTGTGACTGGGATGCTTGATGAGGACTGGTCCTAAGACGTCACCAATGTTCCACTGCAGGCTACTGGATATAAACGTGTCCAGCCAGCCAGTGTACTCCCACTGCATACCTCAAATATGGAAATACTGACTTATTTATCGACTCTTCACATTACCACCTGTCACTTTTCAGCAAATTGTACATCGTTTATGGACATCTATGATTGTTTGATGTTTAGTCTCTTTATATTCACGACCCGTTTCTCAATCTTGGAACTCGGCAACCAAGCATTTCACTGCACACTGTACCGAGTACAACTTTGAATGACTGGATATTTCCTCATGTCACTAAAACAACATGGCTCACAACCGGAAAGTTTTAAAAACATAATAAACAGAATATTATGATTGACTTTCTGTACACTGAGTCTCCAGCCTTTTAATACTTTGTTTGAATGTGAAGATAAGCGTGGGTGTGACTGCCAGTCTAGAATGCATCTTCGTTATAAAAGCTGAGACTTAAGACATCTTAATTATAATCTGCTGCATGACTAACGCGGCTTTGTGGAAACACGTGCAAATATGGTGTGGAGACAGCTCGAGGAAGACCATCTGCTGGAAGTGAGGACAGGACTCTGACTAAACACTCTAGAACTCAGGCGCTGGAGAAATTCTCGCGGCCGCTGATCTCGACTCGCGGTGTCAGCGAGATTAAAATCGAGCGTGCAGACATACAGATGGAAGACAGCCGCTCGGAGCGGGGCCGGTCCAGTCTGGGTTACCTGAGAAGCAGCTTCGGTGAGCCCACACAGGGCTTTGGAAGCAGAACTGACTGAGTCCCCAAACTCTGGCAGGTTGCTGCTCTTGGCATTGTGGGAAATTCCCGCCATGGCTTCTCCCAACACCTGAAGATGGACAAAAGTCATCACACACAACAGCGACCCGCTCATCTGAAGTTTCCATACATGAGCTTAAAACTAAAGAAATTCCCTTAAAACTAAAGAAACTCCCTCATGCTTTCTAATATAACAGCCCACTGTCAACATAATTACAATAATAAAATGCTTTTGTGCCAACGCTGGGCATGCAGTGTTAGTATCTGTTACAAAAACAGATAAAGGACTTGAAATCGATCTTATAGTTTAAGAGAAACAGATTAATTACAGAATGCTCTCTGTCACTATAAAGTACCTTGGAATTCTCCATGACGCTGTCGATGCAGTCGAAGTAGGACATGTCGTTGACTGCCTCAGTTGGGTTCTCCAGCATCCCTCTGACAGTCTGAAAGGAGACAGCAGCTCACTTACAGGTACAGAGAGAGGAGAGCGTCCCCCGTCTATCACAGGACCTGCTCCTCCATGCGCTCACTCCCTCCAGGCAGCAAAATATTTCCCACTTGACCGCAAGGTAGCAGAACCCACCAATTAGACTCCAAATCTTGTAACTGGAGCCACGGTCATAAATAATTCACTTTATCTCCACCCACTACCTGTATTCAGCGGTTGTCATATATGAAGATATTCTTTCCCCTCCAACCACAGCAAAAGTGTCTCAAAACAATGAAATAATCCCATACCCTGTAAGTCGATGTCGCACTTTATTCTGCTGGGTCGATAAAGTGAGTCACTCAAATAATAAAATATACAATAATTATAACTTTACAATGCACCAGATATCAGCAGTGCAGAGTACACCAATCAGGAGTCTCGGTTTCTGATTTTGTTTTTAAACCCCTGATGCTGCGATACGAAGCTTCTCCCCGTAACTTCAGCCCCGAACGGAACACCAGGATCCCTGACTGCAGCGTGGAAAGAGCTGAAATACCATTAAACAGCCCCTCCTCCCCTGATAGCCCCCACCCTGAGGGAAACAGCAGCAAGTGGGTACCTCCAGCTCCCTGAGCGCGTTGTCACACTCCTTCTGTCCGGGGGCTTGCTGAGTGCACATGGTGATGAGCTGGTTGATGCTGTCAGTGACAGCGCTGTGTACACGCACACGCACACACACACACACGCGTGCGCACACACATACACATGGAGAGAGGGGCAGAGAGAGAGCGAGCGAGGGAGAGAGAGGGAACAGGAATGTCAGAGCGGTACAGGGAGGGAGAGGAAGCGCTAGCCGGTGCTAATCGCAGCTCGCCCACGCAGCACGGCAACTCGGCATTCTGGGAGCTCGCTGCCCGGGCCGTTTCGCTCGCACGCCGATGCCTGGAGCAGGACATGGGAACCCTGAGAACCGTGCCCCCCCCCGCCCCCTGCTCCTGCACCCCACATGGTACCCTGGCAACAGTGTGTTAGTGGGTTTGTCTGCCACTGCACAGACACTCCCACTTTTTATACAAGCCGAATCTCTCCGTTACGCAACGGCGGCGGATTCCCACACGCCGCCCAGCTCCGGAATACGGAGGGGAGTAGGGGGGGGGTTATGTAATATATGCTAATTTAGCGAGCGGAGTGTCTCCCCCCAGCGCGGCGGACAGGGTCCGTGTGTCAGACGCAGAGCCGCTCTCACCGCCACGCTCCCCCCGTTCTGCGCCCACCCCCCCGGATTGATGTGTCTCGGCTGAGATCGACTACGCTTCATCATAACAATGATACTAAAACTCCACTAACCATTTGTACGAGTATGAGTACAGGAATGTAGGAATCTTTGGTTTTCACAAATCCTCTATACTCACAAATCTTGCCATACTACAGCTTTTCTCTTTTAAATTATTTTATTTTACCAGATGAAATTTTTTTTTGAAAAAGCAGAGTCAGCCGGTCCCTGGAAAAATTCGGGGTTTGGGGGATTTAGGGCCTTGCTCAAGGGCCCAACGGTGCAACCACTCCGCTAACCCTGGGATCTGAACCAGCGACCTGCTGTCACAGGTACAGCATCCTAACCTACTGAGCCCTACATATTGAGCTGCCAGTGAAGCTTGGGGTCAGAGCGCAGGGTCAGCCGTTTCATGCCATAGCGGGGGTGTTTACCGCCACTCAAACCGCGCGTCTGATACAGTCACTGCATTATGAGCCAGGGGGCCTTTAAGTGAACTCTTGAGTAGGACCCAGAACCAACAAACCTGCCCTTATCACCACATTAGTAATCATCCCATGTTTACCCGACGCGTTGTGTATGATTGTACAAGGATTACAAACAGACTCTTAGACAAAGTGAGTCGCAATAAGGCGCCTAAAGAGAGGACGCGCTTGTTGATGATGTAAACGTGGCAGAAGGCCCTGGAGCCTTACCGAGCTGCGGCTGCCAGCTGGTTCTTCAGGTTGGGGGCGTTGGGGTCAGTGGACAAGGCCTTGGCTGCCAGGAGGAGTTTGCTGGATGACATGGAGATGGTCTTGAGATTGGTGACGACTTGAGCCTGGTCTTCCTTGGACTTCAGAGAGAGAAGAAAATTAAGCAAATCTGAAAGGTTGACGATGCAGCATGAACATCGGCGATGATGCAGCACTGATGGTCTCCTAATGACACGGTCCAGCCTCATGTAGCGTATTTCACATGCAGTACCTGTGACTGGCCGGCCATATCAACGCCAGCCTCCAGGAACTCGCTGAAGCCTTTGCCGAACTTGCCGGTGGCCCGGGCCAGGTCCTGGGTTGTGCCACGGGAGGCCTGTACCAGCTCGTTGGCGGACTGGTTCAGGTTGACAGCGGCCTGGTTCAGGTTGCCCTGCGCCTCCTGGAAGCTCTTCCCACTCGCCGGGAACTGAGATGGTGGGGGAGGACAGGTTCCTCGTTAAGTTTTTACCTCGAGTTGTCATCTCTCTTACAGGACAAAAGCTGATTAGCATAGCAGAGGCAGGCAGCTGTAGGTACTCTCACAGCTCTGGTACGGTAAAGTACCGCAATTATGTTATTGTGACACCTGTCCTTGAGGGACCTTGATGGCAATTATAAAAACAGACCTCACTGTGATTGCAAATGCACCACTGCCAGGGGTGATTCTAGGGTTTCACCCTTAGGGGTCGCCAAGTTAGTTATTTATTACTGCGGCATTTCCCCAGGGTCCTAGTGTTCTACCACAAGTCTAAAGTGCCCCTATTAATGGCTCAAGTCAGCCAGTCTTCGGATGGTAACTCACGCTATACATTCAGAGAGATTCAATCAAAATCAAGTTCACAGATTTTAGGCTCCACCCACCGAATCAGCCAGGAGCTTCTTGCTGGCCTCCCCGACCGTCCTGATGGCGTTGTCCACATCCCGCTGTCCGGGCAAGCAGTTCACACTTCTGTTCAGGGCCTGGGAAACGGCCTTCGCCACCTAAAAGCACATGCCAGGCTCTTAAAGGGGAAGGTCCACCCACTCCCTTTTAAATGCAGGAATTCAGCACTCTGGCCAGCAACAAACCGACGCTCATCAAGATGAAACAGGGTGAAAGTTGTCAAGAAAGGGGGTGTTTTGGGACATCCTGAAACTGATCAGGAGCCGAAGCTGTAGGAGAGAACAGCAGGGTCCCAACTTCCTGTATGACAAGTGATACCTTCTTCCCCTCATCCCCCCCCCCACACACACACACACAGTCAGCAAGCCACTCACTCTCTGCCCCAAAAGCACATTCACATCTTCCCACTGTCAGCTCTGATACAGCAGTAGCTTCAGCTCTCAAGCTTTCGAAAGCAGACAAATAGATGTGGAAAAAAAGACCTGATGCAATTCTTTTCTTTCACATTGAAATTTGCAGTTTTTTATGCAAAGAATAAACTTGGTAAGCTTTACTCTATAGTAAAAATAATGAGAGAATCACAGATTTCCACCTGAAATTTAAAGACAACCATAAGAAGCATTGGCGCCCTCTAGTGCCAGATGGTGGTAACTGACCTGGGCCAGCCTCTGCTGGCTGTCAGGGTCGCCAGGCTTGGCGATGGCCCTCTTGGTCTCCTCGATGAGGTTGGCTGACTTGTCCATGACGTCGCTGGCGCAGTCCAGCATGGCGTTGCGAGCCTGGGGGTCGGCGGTGTTGGCGGCCACGCCACGGGCAGCCGAGGCCAGCGAGCGCAGGGCCTGAGCCACGTCGCGTGCCGCCATGCCTGAGGGAGGAACGTGATGTGTGACGTCACAGGCAGAGGGCAGCACAGAGCATCCTGCGATCATAAGCCCACCTGACGGAACCCATGTGAACTAGGAGCGTAACGGTACTTTAATTCGTAACCGAAAATTTTCAGTACAGGTGTTTCGGTTCGGTACGCGTATGTACCTAACAAATGCGGAAACTTTGTGCGTTTGTGTGTTTCCCATGAGTGTGTGTTTTTGTGTACCGTTACACCCCTAATGTCAATGTTTCATAGAAGCAGCCAATGAAATTTAACACCTTACACCGGTGCATGTGTGAGTCTGTGCATGTGGGGGTGTGGCACAAGGGCCCGGTATTTACCGGTGTAATTCTCGTTGCCCTGGGTGGCCTCGCTCAGCAGCTGGGCAATGGCAGAGCTGACAGCCTTTGTGCTGGTGCCCAGGTCCTGGGAACACTTCTCCAGCTGAGGCGGCGGGAGAGAGGAAGCCACGTCATTCCAGGGAAAAACCACGTGGAATTCAGATCCAGGAAAGAGGACCCCCACCAGCAGCATGCAGCCAACTGGCGTTTTCAAAGCAACCATGATAAGAAAGAACATCCCGTCCGGCCGAGATTCCAAAAAACACTTTGGGGAAACTCCTGTTGGGGCATCGAATGTTAAACAAAGCAGATAACCAGGCAAAAGTCAAGCTTGGGACAGAGCCGATTTTCAGCTGTCAAAAGCTGAGCTGGGCTATCGGTGACAGTCAGTGACTGCTGGTCGCACCAGTGTGTGCAGCATGGTGGGATTGGGTCTGTCCCCATCTGCACTGTTTTGGTAGATTTAGCTTGTTGAAATGGCATCTGAGCTAATTGGTGAAACCGAGTTCTCTGAGTGGGCTGTTTGTCTACCATCACCTCCAGCCGCACCGCTGCAAAAATGAAAACTAGGTGAGAACAAAGGCCGGGTGTGCGAGCTTGCAGATCGAATCGCACACGCTCCTCGCCCCTGCATCGCTCTCGAAAGCGGGTCTGTGTGCCTGCCCACGCAAAGGGCTTGTGGTTGGGGCCAGGTGTGCTTCGGGGGGAGGGGGGGGAGGTAAAAGGGCATCGCTTGCAGGTGTGGGCGCCGCTGTTCTCACCGTCTCCCCGGGCAGTGGGCGGAGCCTCCCCTCCGCGGCCGAAGCCTTGGCCTCCTGCATGTCCCTCTCCAGGCCACGCACCACGGTGAGGGCGCTGTCGATCTCCAGGGGGCCACAGGCTTCCTGTGCCTGTGGGGGGGGGGGACAGGAAATGAGGAGTGTGGCTCGAGTTCACACAGCAGGGTCTTCTAGCACATGCACTATTTTGATAAGCCTGCCTGGGAACAAGATGACGGGTCTGAGTGAGTCTGCAGCTACCCGCAAGGTTACTATCTGACTACGATCACGTCGGCTGCTTTGAACGACGCATGTTTACTCTTTCGGTGGTCATTCTTATGTGTGTTTGCTTTGACTCTTCTTTCACAAATGAAAACTAGAATGAGTCTGGCTTGTCGACCCACTGTTTCAAAATTCATCACCTTCATAATGATAAAGTAATAACAAAGGCAGTCTGCAAAGACGCCCCAGCCAGACAGGAGGGAGCGTTCCCTCTTCACGGCGTTAATGTACAAAACCACAGGCCACCATTTACTCCAGTATTAAAGTTATCCCAGCAGACACGAATCCACGTGGCCCTGGCTTCCCGAGCGGACGAGTTCAGGCACCCATGCCTGGGGGGCGGGGCCTCACGCCTGGGGGGCGGGGCCTCACCCTCTGGGCGGCGGTACGCAGCTCCCCGAGGGCGTTGGCCAGGTTCTTGGCGCACTGGCTGAGCTGCATGGCGGATGCCTGGTCACTGATGGTTGGCACAGTGGCCTTGGCGGCTGTCACCATCTTCGCTCCAGGCTGGGGGGGAGGGGACAGATAATCTGTTACTATGATGCACGGCATTTCAGCCTCAACCATAAATGCTAAAATTGTTAAATATTATATTAAATATTAATTATATAAAATAGAAGCTTGCTGTCTAGTATCAGCTGCCCTGTATGGAGCAGGGGCTCAGACCACCCGTGTGCCCCCCCCACCTGTAGAAAGTTCTGGCTTGCTCCGATGAGGGCCAGCTGGGCGCTGGGGCTGTCCGGCTGCGACTGGCTGCCTCGTACCCCCTGGACCAGCATGGGGATCTGGTCTGCGACCACCTGCCGTGCACACAGCAGACGTGTCACACTGCGCCCACTTCCCCAACTGCACTCTAGGGGTCACTGCAGGACCCGGTTTCCCCTAAGCCTCCCCAGGCCTCCAAATAAAGCCCGTCGACCTCACCATACAGGTGACGCCCGCAAGGCAACACCAAACAACCTGTCAGTCAAACAACTTTTTCAAGAACAAATATTCAGCACACTGCATAATGAAATTGATTTGTCTTCTGTGATGTGCAACTGTGATCATCCGCAGACCATACAAGGAAGTGAAACAGAAGCAATATGAAAGATATGACTGTGCACACACAGACGTAGACACACACAGACGCATGCATTTGGTTCCCACAATGTAGTAACTACAACCCCCCAACACACACGCGCACACACACACAAGCTCTATAAAATCACAACTACAAAAAATTTTCTGGGGGAAAAGAATCAAATAAGGAAGAAAATATTCCGTAAATAAGGAAGGATTCCGGGCTGTGTGGGAGGAGAGACCTCGGGGAGACTTGGGTGGGGGTAGAGCATAGCCTGGACTGCCCTCTCTCTCACTCTCTCTCTCGCTCTCTCTCTCGCTCACCTTGCAGCTCTGCACCAGCTGCTGCTGCGCAGCTGGGTTCTTGTTAGATGAGGCCGCATGCTGTGCTGCTGCAATGGTCTGCGTGGCTGCGGCAGCCGCCTGCTTGGCTGCATTCTGCGGGGAAAATGAGAGACTGCCTTTGAGGGGGGTATTACCCTGGGGTGGTGGTTAGTGAGTGTACTGTGGGAGAACTTAATCACCAGGACCTGTTCAGGTTAAGGTGCTTAACCAACCAACCATCCAACTAACCAACAAGGCAACCAAGCAACCCTCCGGTACCAGAGCCTAACATGAGATCTCGCAGGAGTAACAATCAAATTTAACAAACTAGACACACATGCATTGAAAGGTGTTTAGCAGTAAATTCTTTTTATTTTCACCTGTGAAATGATGACCATTTCTGTCCCGTGAGTGGGGAGAAAGGCTCTGAACAGAATACTAGCTATTAAAATATGCCCTCTGGATTCTTGGATAATTAATTTCCTTGTTATTTCAAATAATTATAATCATTATTCAAACTGCCTCTCAGCAGCCAAAAAGCCTCAAAACTGATTTGATAATGTCTTTCTAACCCTTGTGTATGTCAGATTCAACATTAAAAGTACAGCAAGAGTTGATCGAATTAACGCACAAATCCATCGAAGTTTTTTTGTAACACGTTGCATTGTTGTCTATTTATTTAGCAGACACTTTTATCCGAAGTGGCGTATAACTGAGGAAAGCTTGAGGTCAGACAGCAGAGTCAGCCGATGTCCCGGGAGCAGTTTGAATTAAGGGCCATAATCAAGGGCCCAATGGTGATATGTCACAGGATTAGAACCAACAACCTTCTGGATACAGACAAAGCTCTAACTTGCTGTGCTACACACTGCACGTACACACTGCACGTACAATATCAAGATGAAGAGAGTCACGCTCTTTCTGTTTAACTTCATCCCAGACTGACTGCTTGGGCTCTCTAATCAACAGGACACTGCTCTGCATGCACAAGAAAGAGAAAAGGACGCAAGGCTGTAGGGTCTGAAAAACGCATTTCAGCCTCCGCACGGCCACCAGCTATAGAAACGAACAAAGCAGAGGGGCTCCAGCATTTACAAACTCCCTCCCCGCTGGCAGCCAGCGAGGCTCGTTCGCATATTGGACGTTCCTGACGACAGCCCAGAAGGTCATGTCCGGAAGAGTCCATCCCCTCCGTTTCCCGGATCTGCTCTCAGGACCGCTTGTTGGCCCGAATGTGAAGTAGGGAACTCAGACAAAACACATGGCCCAAATTCGAAGCAACAAGCTAAGTTAAGGCACATCGGGTCCTTCAGGCACTGGAAAAGGCAGCCCTGCTTGCAGAGACTTGCCCAGATTCTGTAGTGAATGTTTTGCGCTCTAGGCATCTGCTGGTCTGTGACTCTGCATTACCACATCTTGATTTCACACTGCGAGCTGACGCCCAGCTCCTCTCTGCCATGACACGACTTGTCCCATCTGCAGGCAGCCGCCTCATCCCCGAGGCACTCCCCCCCCGAACATCCCAGCAGCGGTGACGACAGGGAGGTTCGCACCTCCAGCTTGTTGACCAGCCTCTTCTTGATCGCATTCTGCGCTGCGGCGTTGGTGGCCATACGCAGGCCTTCTGCCGCCTCCCGCAACTTCTGCTGCTGCTCCTCGCTGTCAGGGTTGGCAGCTGCGCCCTTTAAGCAAGGAAATGGGCGGAGTCAGAACGCACCTAAAAACACTGACAGCGGTTCAAGCGGATGCTGCTCCAGGCTGGTGACATCATCGGCATGGAGCCACGGTTACACATGGGCGTCATGGCAAACCTTGGCGGCTTCCACCATCTTCGCTGTGGCGTCGGCCAGCAGCTTGGCGGCGGAGAGAAGCTTGCGCGAGTTCTCCAGGTCTGACTCCCCCTCGGCGTCGGCCTTGATGGCATTGACCAGGTCAGAGGTGGCCTGAGCGAGGATGCGAGCCTGTCGGACCATCTCACCTGCGCACATGGGGGGGGGGGGCATCAGCGGCATGGATTCATGGAGCATCTCGTTCACGTCCTCACGGCCGTCGCAGCGGCGACTCAACTCACCAGCATCACCCATGGAACTGAAGATGTTCTCGGTGACATCCAGGATGCGGTCAGTGGCCTCGCCATGCCGGCCGATGGGCTGCCCCCCGGTGGCGTACTGCTTGATGTGCTGCAGAAGCTCGTTCAGGGCGTGGGTGACGCCGGTGGCGGCCACGCCCACCTGCTTCAGCAGCTGCTCGTCGCTGGTGGCAGCTTGCGATGCCTCCACACAGCCCTCCACCGACTTGGCCACCAGCTTCCCTGCCTCAATCAGCTGCTCCTGGCACACAGGCGAGCTGATAGTGGGGGCCACCACCTGGGGGAGGGAGGGGGGGGGGGTCAATCATTCTCCACTCATCAACAAATAACCCTCCAGAGATCATGTTTTCCAGTAAAGACTATTAACACATTCCTGCTTTTGTAAATAAACTATTAACACATTCCTGCTTACGTTAAATAAAATGAAAATACTGAACCCATTAATATGAATTCCGTGCAGGTGCGAGTTTGGCAATTGGTAAAAATGGAGAATTCATCCGCCCCCACACCCACGTGCAGCTAACGAGGGAGCCCCCATTGGCGGCGCCGGCCGGAGTGGGGGGAGACGTACCCGGGTGCAGGCCACCAGCTGGGAGGTGGAGAGGGCGCACTGGGTGGCGGCGGCGATCACGCGGTTCTGCAGGGCGGAGTCCTCTGCCTTCTGGGCCACGTTCTTGGCTTTGAGCACCAGGGCTGCGGCGGCGTTGGCCACAGCTTTGGCCAGCTGCATCAGCATGTCCTGAGAGATGGAGGGAAGGAGAGGAGAGAGAAGCAGGGAAAGAGGGAGAGAAAAATAGTGAGAAAGGTAGATTGAGTGAGAGAGAGAACGAGCTGGTTAGCAGTTTAAGAGGCTGTGGTGCGACACAGATGGTATTATGTGAATTAGGAGTAGATGCTGCAGATTCTCCCCATGTAGTTCCCCTCAACACCATGAGATTTTAGGAAGTGGTTCATTGCCCCCCCCCAAATGTAGGTCTCACTGGATCTCAGTAGACAGATCAAAATTAAATGGATCGTCTTTTAATGATCATCTATTAAGGTACAGCTCAACGGAAGTGAACATGTGGACCTCATAAGCAAGCAAGGTCTAATCAGAAGGTCTATAGAGACATCGATAGTAAGTAGTTGGGTGGCAATCGGATATATGGACGGCAGGATTATCAGGGTGAATGATGACAATCGCAGGGGAGCCCCTCTGCTGGGCAGCGCCACCTTCACCCACGTGGTCACTAAGGCATGGGGCTTGGCTATGGCTGCCCGACGTGATTCTCAAAGCCGAATAGGACGTCTTAAAGGATCAGATTGAATGTGGAGTCATTCATTTTTCCAATTCCAGGAAACATTCAAGAAGGATCTTAAAAAGGGTCTGCTGTAGTTCGAGGTTGAAAATAATTCTTTAATTCTGAAAAAAATCAACAGATCCCCAGGAATAAATATGGAAGTGAAGCACAATTTCCCTTTGTCCTTCAGTCACCACAAAAACAGAGTATACATACTCTTCAGTTCAAAAAAAGGGAATTTCCATAGATTATCTGCAAATAAGGTGGGGGTTGGAAGCTCCCCCTGCAAGTCAGCATTGTTGGCACCACAAAGCTAAAGTCGTGTCTTCCATTGCCCAAGGAGGACATAGAGGGTCTCCTGGCTGCGTTTGGCAGGGCCAACACAGGGCACTCATTTCAGATGCATGCAGGAAAAGCAGGGTCAGGGAAAAGCCACTTCCCTTAAGAAAAACAAAAAAAACCAAAAACGCCCCCACATTCTGTGCTCAGCCCTCTAAATTCCTCAGATGCCTGAACATTTCTGTTCATCTCTGGGGATTCACACTTTGTTCCCATAATAATATGTTTACTCCCCCTGCAACATAAATTACCAAAAAAAAAGAAAGAAAGAGAACAAGGACACTTTAAGTAGCTTGTTAGCTAAAACCACAGTCCCGAATGTGACATTCTCAAATGTCGTCAACTACAAAAACCACCTCAGTATTTCAATACTTGTAGGCACCCTTAAGCATTATAATATCTAAATTATATTTTCCCTCATCTACTGTAGCACTGCCGTTTCTAATAACTGACTTTCAATAACATGGCTTAAAGGAATCTTCTAGAAGAATCCAAGTCTATCCCCCAGCTAGCTTTTATCTGCTGGATTATAACACCCTCATCTAAAATCTGGGACTCAGCTACAGCTGAGATACAGGGGGAATCCTGAGCTGTGAGCTAACCGCTAGCTGGCTAACAGAAAGATCTGAACAAACTCAGCAAATCCCTACACCACAGGCAAAGTCATATTAGCATTTAATAGTTTACACTTTAACCGAAACAACTCACAGGACTTCCAAAAATGCACAATTGGACGTTTTACAGGAGTAATCCAGGTTAAGTACCACCCCCAAGGGTATAAGCACATGGTTTCTCCTGGGACGTGTGATCACAACCGGACAGACATCTGACTACACTGCTGTTCACGTGATGAACATTCTGACATGACGAAACATGTACAGTATAACACAAAATACCAACCATTTAACCCAACCATCCCAGAAAAAGCTGCTATCATCACCTTAAGAACCTTTCATTCCGTTTCTCTTGTATCTAGCACATTGTTTCCCAATCCGGTCCTTGGGGACCCAGAGTCAGTCTACATTTTTGCTCCCTCTCAGCTCCCTACTGGGAGTTGGTGGGAGCAAAAATGTGGACTGTCTATGGGTCCCCGAAGACCGGATTGGGAAATACTGATCTAGCCTTGTAGAAACTGTACTTGAATATTTTACTAAAAATAGTACAAAACAGGGAGTACAAAAGCAATAATTAAAACGGTTCATACATCGCAGTCAAAGGAGAGAAAAAATGCAGAGATATTGAAAACCCAAGTCGCTATATAGAAAATTAAATGCCAGTTAATCGAGAGAAAAGTTTACTTAGCAGGGTACACTAGTCAAAGGTGACTCTTAAGAAAGTCGACTCCACTTACAGTAACAAAATGAATCTGCCAGTTAATGTCCAGGGACATCCGCCCCCAGGCGTCAGGACGAAGGCCGCAGAGTGCTACTATTACTGGCAACAAAAGCTCCATTCATCTACGACCTCTTAAAACATCTCCAGTACCTTTGTGTTGTGGTACGCCAGAGTTCTTCTGCACCAAAAGCTGTGGTCTACTGACATGAGACAATCCAGTGTGCAGAAACTGGATCACACACTAAATTTGAGATGGTTGCTAAGAGTGACTATCACCACTTTACTGGTGTCTAGATAAAACTTATCTGAACTTCTCTTATAAATGACCTGTTCTTCATCATTATTTAGATATACAGGAAGCAGCTTCACAAACTATGCAACTTAGTGCCAAGCAGGATCGTTTGCATCAAGTAATTTCTTGCCAGTGGGAACATCTCCCACTGCTATAAATCAGCTCCTTGCAGGAACAGGGTCTAGTGTGCCGGCCGAAAGGCCACAGGCAGCCGAAACTGCCTCTCACTGGCAAAAGCAACATCAACTGCATCGTGGCTGGAGATGGGTGCTTCTGGGAACGTCATGGGAAGGTGTGTAGTGGACCATGGGGTTTGGGGCTGGACACCACAGAAAGGACAGATGACCACCGTGAACTGAATTACATGTCTTGTTAGGATAGTTCCATTATTGAAGAGACCGTTGTTAAAGGGTTTGTTTCTGCACGTCCTCAGGTACTGCAAGACAGGATGTAAATACACTTCCACGCCTTGATCCTCAATGATGTGACATAAATGACACACACAGAAACTCAGCATCCCAATGATTGTTCAACCTGCATCCAATGGTCAGATGCATCCTCCCCCCTCCCACTCTATATTTCCTCACCTTTAAACCCCCAACCCTCTCCAACCTCACATCACCATACAGCTGGATATTTTTCTCCTTGCAGAATTCCACCTAATTCACAGTGTTTACCTTGTTTATATATATATTATATATATATATATATAATGTATATAAACACACACACACACACACACACACACACATCTTTCTTACTTAAAACCACACACGTGTCTCTCTCCTACCTTTTCCTGTGTTTTGGACCCTCAGTCAACAAACCAAATCCTCGCACCTTAAAACAGGAATGTTTTTCCAGCTGGAAGGCGACCATCTTTCTCTCACTTAAGTCTGCTGTTTATCATAAATCTCCAGGTCTCCCTTTCATATGAGAATGGCATTCATCTTATTAGGCATTTTTTTTGGCCAAGATAAAAAAAAATAGTTTTGAAATTTCAGAGTACCTAAGGACATCAGAAACAGACCCCGAGATGAACGGATGGCTGCAATCGAACGCCTGCATCCAGGACAAACCGCCGGGAATGACCTGGACAGGCTGTCTTCCGAGAGCAGCGTGAGTGAAATCTTGATATATTAGTGAATGACGGGAGTTGATCAGATGTAAAATTACTGCTTTGGATCGTCACCCCATTAGTGTGATTGGCTAATGAGAATCATTTGCTGAGCTCAAGGGCTTTGTGTTACCATCACGTGACTAAAAGGGGGGGTCGTCCGTCCCGCACCCCTGAAAGATCCTTTACCTAAAAACTGAACAGTGCAGTCACAAAGAGGACATTGGTTACACAGGTGCTACATTACATCACATGAACAGACCTCCTGAAATCATTATTAAAAGTAAGACTTTCATTTACTCAACTTCTTAAAAGTACTTCCATCAAGACCAGGGTTGGAATGTAATGGAATTTTTGCTACTAGTTGAGTAGTTCAGTAATAAATGTAGTCTGACATGCATTTTTTTTTTTACTTGCCAATTTTTTATACTCACTCATCTAAATTACTCACCTCAGGCAAGAGGACAAGCCTAATTTCCAGCCCTGGTCAAGACTGCACTCCCCCTCTCTGCATTTCAGTCTTAGCTTCTAATGCCAACAGTCCTGTATCGAGAAAAGCGCCCCCTTCTGGCAGCGAACAGGAGCGGGTGTGCGGCCTACCTGGAACCGGGGGTCTGTGTCGCTCTCGCCTATCTGCTGCAGCAGCTCCCCACTAGCCTGACCCACGTTGCCGGCAGCTTGTAGGAGGTTCTGACGAGGCTGTGGGGAGAAACCGACCAAGACACTGAGCACTGAAGCAGACATCAACCGCCCAAGGATAACAGAGCTGCTACGAGACCAGCTTTCATGGCCTTGGAAGAACCAAAATAATAAAAATAATTAAATAAAAATAACCAATCCATCTATGCATCTTCTGCTGTCATGGGGAGTGGCAACCTTTGCAGCAGTTCTGTCAGTGTTTTTAGTTTGTCACAAGTTTTTTGTCACTGTAGCACAATAAAAGTCATTAATCAGTTCTGCTAGCTTTATCTTTTTCCCCCATCTTCCTCAATTTCCTTCAAGATTAATAAAGCTTTTCGTTTTCTTTCTTCCCTACCTCTATCCATCTCTCTTATCTATCTATCTCTCTATCATCCATCCATCCATTCTGCGCTGTGCCTTAAAGAGAACCAATAAGTTGGTACACACTTTTATTCTGCCAGTGCCATAAGCAAACATTCCTAGTGTAGAGGTCACTCCCTTTGGGACATGCTGGCCAGCCCTAATTGCCGTGTCACTGCTGAGAGCCGCTGTACCTCGCTGCTGGCCGGCTGGGCGGTCTTCAGCATGTCCGACACGGCACAGGCCAAGTTCCTGGCCGCCCCCAGCAGCTGCTGCCCAGTGCCGCCTTCATCCTCCATGAGGGCAGCCAGGAGCTTCACACCCTTGGACATCTCCGTCAGGTTAGAGGAGATGGTGGTGACAGCGCAGCCCACCGCGGTGTAGTCCGTCTCCGCCGGGTCACCTAGGGGGACGACATCGAAGGTTCAGGACAACGGTGACACTGCCATGCTGGCTAAATCTCCTACCAATATAGACTCACGCTTCCTAGCTACCAATTCTGAAAAGTAATCATTATCTTAAAAAAAACAAACAAAAAAAACACAAATTTCTGCAAGCCACAATGTACTATATGCTATTCTGAGCAAAAAAAAAATTAGAAGACTGCAGTTTCAAACTTGCAACGTCAGTAAATTTTAAAATAAGGAAACGGGGAAAAAGTGCACATCACATTCTGCTTCCACCGAGCAGTCAAACAAGACCTGCTGCAACACCTCAAAGCAAATGGGCATCTTATTTGTATTGGTACTTGGAACCTCAGCAGTGCCAAGGAAAAGGGCGGGGTCATGCAGAAGCAGAGGAACTCCATCACCCATCATGTACACTTCCACAATGCAGAGCCACTAAAATCAGCTACAGATATCCTTGACATAGACAGGAGTCAAGGTGCAGAATGAATGATCTAGACCCAGATAAGCAGTTTAATGGCGAGATGTGGTCACCTGCTGTAAGGTTGACCATAGATGCAGTTCCTGCTGTGATGGCGTCCACCTGCGAGTGGATCTCGTGCTTCGACTCGTCCATTTTGTTCTTGCGCCACGCTTGCGAGGCCTAGCGGACAGAGTTAGGAGAAAGGCTGCGGTCAACGCTACTCCGTTGCTGTCACGGTGCTGAGGTTGTGTTAACTCTTAAAGGGACGGCACTTGGCGTTTGTGGGTGACTCACAGCGTCGGTGCCCAGGGGAGGGAGGGTGTCGAACTCATCCAGGGAGGCCTGGGCCGCCTGGACGGCCTGCATGCTGGAGTTGATGGTGCCCGTCAGGGCCTGCTGAGCAGATGTCTAAAACCCAACAGAAACTAAGGTTACGACCCAGCTGTGATTCTTAACCTTCGGCCTGCCAACGACACAGCAAACATAGCGTCAGAGGTCTCTTTCTGGGGGCCGTGGTCTTACCAGTGGTGGCATGTGGCCCCTGTGCATCTGCCCGCTGGTGATGTGCTGCTTGGCCTGGGGCATGGAGCCCATCTGGAAGCTCTCTGGGCCGACGCCGCCGGACCGCATGATGGCAGGTAAAGCGACAGAGCCAGTCTCTACCTTCCCCACCTTGTTGGACTGCTGCTGGAGGACTGTCGACCTGGCAGCAGTGGGGACAGTGTTAAGACATCTTGATGTACCAGCTGAAGATAATTTGAAAACAAGGTTCCGGTGGGAAGTCCACCTCTCCCAAGAAAATGGAAGACGGAAATATGAGCGTCAGGTCAGTGACGGCGAATTACGAACACGGGTTGCACCGGAATGCGAGGCTCGCACCACAGCATTCATGACTTACTTTTTGGGCGACACAGAATCTTCCAGCATCGTGGATTCCTCATCTCCTTCTAAGCCAAAATGGTCCTTGCTCTTTTTCTGCAACGGGAGATACGGGGGAGGTCAAGACTCTGAACCACAGATGGAGCGACAACGGAGGATTTGCTCTTCACAGATAAACCGCTCCACTAACACGAACCAGAGGTCACGACACACAAACATCACCAGCATCACCTTCAGCCGCCACGCAGAAAATAAATGCCAACAGTCTTCACACTTCGGTTTGGAGTTTCTCTCAGATATTAAAGTCCACCATCTGCTGCTTCTTAAATGGATACCACACTGGTGCATGCCATCAACTGCTCAGTTTTACAACTGTATGCAGATATGCAGTAAAAATATGTCTATCATATAAAAAAAAAAAAAAAACATAGTAACCCTGAAACAAACCCACCCCCCCATGCATTACCTTCTTAAGGATGATATCGATGTAGCCGGCTATCAGCTGTGCGATCTGCTCCCCCTCAGTCGTCTGGACAGAGTAGTATCCATCTTGGTAATCTCCAAAGTCCTAGGAGAGCATGAACACGTGCCTTTTATAGACATAAGCACAGCATGGATCTTAGAGGCTTCACATACCAGGTAGCCTCTTAACGCATTAGCTTATCTGGGGCCCTATACTGACATCAGCATGGACGCTCAGGTGATGCCGATTTAACAGACCTGCCCTGAAGTTTGCTGGAGCCCTAAGCCTTAGCCCAGGTCAGCCTACACATCAATCCGCCCCAGACCTTACGTGAGAACAGACCTGCCCTGGTTGGGGTCTGTGGCAGGTTTCCTCACTGCCATGTTGAGGCCTGTTCCTCATAACATGTGAGCTCTAATTTTCCCACAGGACATGAATCACTGTCACTCATATGCTTGGAATACCGTACATCAGGCTCATTAGGCCAGATGAACTCATTATTCTGCACACACTCATTACACAGTATTGACTCATTACTCTACATAGACTCATGCTGTATGGACTTCTTACACAGTGAGGACTTGTGACTGCACAGACTCATCGCACTGTATGGACTCATTACGCTGCATGGACTTGTTATGCTGCTGGACTCGTTACTTGGATGTACAGACTCAGGGAAAATAAAGAAATGTGATCAAACGTCACTCCTCTGTGCAAGAGTGACTTGGGAAAGGAATAAAGGCGTCATGTGACTAATCAAGTGTGTGTGAGCCCCCAGTTTACCGTATTATATTACAAGGGCTGGGGACAGATAACATAGCAGAACACAGGTGGGCACCGGCGTGTGCCAGCCTACCAGGGTGAAGCTCTTGGGCGAGGCAGCCCAGCGCTTGATGTTGGTCAGGCTCCACTCCTGGATCACTTCCTTGGTCTTCTCATCCACCCGCATCACGCTCTCCTTGGTGATGCCCAGCAGGCGGGGGACCAGTTTGTTCTTGCCTTTCATCTTCTCCTGCGGGGGGGTGGAGCAAGGGGGGTTGGATTAAATAACAAGAAAATGAGACCGCAGGTAGAGCAGGAAAAAAAAATGATGATGGGCAGCTGCGGGATGGGTTCACAGGCTGCAACTGACACTCAACACGTCCCTGCAATGCTACACACATTTTACTGGAACAATAAACTAATAAACTATGGGCAACGTGGTGGATATGATGGTTGTGGGTTTGAGTCCCGTCCCCTGCTCTGCGTGTTTAGAAAACATGTGGTTTAGGTGTAGCCTGCAATGAGCTGGGATCTCACCCTGGGTGGGGCCGACCTCTGTCAAACGCTCTAATAGATCAGCGGTGGCTAAGTTAATTTAAGTGTTATGTCCTGAATGGAACAATGAGTGAATGCAGTATCACTGAAAGCATTACCTTCACTAGGAAGAATGACACTCCATATGTTTTGAGGGACCTGGCAAGTTTAACATAGCTAACTTTGGCTTCAATTTCTGTCATATTTTGGCAGCTTTTGTGGGCCTGGGAAAAGAGGAGAGACACACACACAATCCAAATTGAAATGTTTGCATTGCAGAAGCATTAAAGAACAGAGAGAGACTAGCGCAAACAAGATGATATACAATTTGCTTCGCTCGGTAAGACTTCAGTCAAAAACCTCCCACTCACCTGAAAGATCTTTTTCTCTCCTTTGTTCTTGACATACTCTTTTGGGAGAAACTCTTTCAAACTATTAAGGAATAATAGATAAATGAGTAAGCACTCATGTAAGTTGAGCATGGCCCCTTCTATGAAATCTGGTTTTAACATAGTGACGAGGTCTTTTTCAAGTCCACTACTTGGTAAGAAGCATATATTTTGTCTTGATACAATGTCAACACAAACGCTGCAGAGACATTGAAGTTTCACTAATTATTATCAGTATCTTGAACTGTAGCAGCATCTAGATCTTACCGTCTGCTTCATCAGAAATGCAGCAACTGCACTTTAAAACAATATAACTTGAACATTCCTAACCATCCTATTTAAATCCATCCAATTATTATGACGTTATTAAACATATAACTAAATACAATACAAAGGCCTTTGTCTGGTTACAATTTATGTGTGACTAGAATCGAGGAACCGCACACATTGGGGAAACACTACTTTTTCACCAGTCTCTCCACACAGATTAACATGGCAAAGACTCCAGGAGAGTCCTTGGGGTGAAGCCTACAGTATGTACTCCATGCAGAAAGCATGAGCAAAAGCGGCCGTCTCTTTATTAACATGAGAGGGAATGCTGAGGAAGGCGATCCGCCACTCACTCTAAGAATCCGGGTTTGTGTTTGGACTCATTGTGATCACCAAACTGGATCTGGCACTGATATCCAGCGAACTCGCAGGCCTTATCGAAGGAAACTGGATGGGAGCCATTCAGGATGTCGTCTCGGGCCTAGATAGGAAGCACGGGGCGATGTCAAACAAATGAAACAAAACATTCACAGTCACGGCATGGATTATCTGCATGGGCCATTTGCAAATGGTGCATCAACGGTAATAACTATAGAAAACCGTAGAGTAAAACTTTGGCAGATTAACAAGAAACAAGATGATGTGTGTTGACTTGACTGTTTTACATTTAGAGTAGAGAAATACTTGTTTAGACAGGAACAAAACCTAGCGAAAGAAACTATAATCTCTTCCAAGAACAACCCCCAAGAGCAATGAATGACAAAGTGTCTGAACCATTCCTCCACTTCAGCCAACCGTACTGGGATGAGGCTGCAGGCCATGGTATATCTATTCCGAACTCTGCTTCAGCCTTGTCATCTTGCTACCAAGATCATGTTGATGGCTCCACAGGAAAGAGTCCTGGTTTCGGACTGGGAGGTGCAAGGCTTTCCCGAACATCAGTACCTGCACGTAAAGCAAGTTGAGCTGGACGGGATCCCTGGAGTCCACGTTCTGGTCGGAGTAGAAGAACTTCCTCCTGAGGAGAAGCATCTCTGTTTCCTCCACACCTTGCTCCCTGAGTGTCCGTCCATGGTCGAGCCAGTTCACTGTAAAATGGAAGAGGAGTTACTCCTAGAAGCTTTATGGATGCATATCATTTAAGCACCCATGCTGAAAAAGGAGTCTTAACTGGGGTGGTAACAAGACTACAGGGGCGTCAACATCAAGATGGCAACCACCAACTGGGCGTCAAGCCACCCAACTGCAACTCCTTTTGGGCCCTCTGCCCACCGTTAAAAGGGTGAGAAGAGATGAGGAAAGAGGGAAAAGAACCACTAGCCATGTTTGTTTCTCTTTCTGTGCCCAGAATCCCCTTGACGACAGCTGCCCACACAAGGAACGCTGTCTTGGACAGTCCTGCCTGAGCCTGACCTCAGAGACACCAGGGCCCTGAAAGGACCTCGCTTTTGGTTCCAACCCTGCCTTGGCCTGACCTCACAGACATGTCAAGAAAAGAACCTGAAGCAACCTCGTGCCAAGTTCCAACATTGCCTCAGCTTGACCTCACAGAGAAGCCAAGACACTGAAGGGACTCCGCATTGAGCTCCGCCTTGCATTTAGGTTTTTATTTTATTATTTGTTGGGCACTTCAGCCTATTTCCCCCTGCCTCTGACCAGTCCCTCCACCTACCATACTAGGTATGGTAAATGGTAAATGGACTGCATTTATATAGCGCTTTTCTACTCCTACGAGTACTCAAAGCGCTTTACAATACATGCCTCACATTCACCCATCCACACTCACATTCACACACCAGTGGTGAAGGCTGCCATGCAAGGTGCCAACCTGCACACCGGGAGCAATTTGGGGTTCAGTGTCTTGCTCAAGGACACTTTGATGGGGTCAGGAGGAACCAGGGCTTGAACCTGCAACCCTCTGGTTGCCGAACGATAGCACTACCTCCCACGCCACCATCTTCCCCAATGCACTTAGGTTGAATGCTTTTTATATTAATTTATTTAGCAGACACTTTCTTCTAAAGTGACTTATAAGTGAGAAAAGTTCTGGGTCAGAGCACAGGGTCAGTCGACATCCAGTTCCCCTGGATCAACTTGGGTTAAGGTCTTGCTCAAACACCCAACAGTGATATGATTACCGCATCAGCCACGTGATCTGAACTGATGACTTTGACACAACAGATCCCTCTCCCTCACATCTACCGTCTGCTCCTGGAATCTCCATGGACTTACGTTCGTCATCTGTGTGCAGCTTCTGCTTGAGCTTTTCCATCTTCTTGTCATCTATGTCGCGCACCAGCGAGTACTCATCATAGTTTGTGATACCTGTGATGGGGAGGTGCACATGGCCATGGGAGAATGAGCTCAGAGATGCGATTTG